GTATAAGCTGACCATAAGCCTAGGCTATTAAATAGAATAAGCTATCTGGAAGCCTAAGTATTACTGGAGTACCCTGTTGTCTAGGCTCCTATCCAGCCTGGGCTAAAGAAGGGCCTATATTAACAATCAGTATCTTTAACAGAGGCTTATAGTTAGTATAGGCTAGCTATAAGCTCAGGCTATATTATAATATGTTGAGGTGCCTGGTTGGCTGGTAGGCGAGGATCACGTGTTCTGATCACGTTGGCCACCACCACCAAGGCGTTCTTCTTCTTCTTTTCGGCCGTAGCCTAGATAGCGAATACAACCAACATCTTGAACTCCCTGAGCTGTAGCTCACGACATAATACAAGTTATCTGAAAGCCCAAGTAATACTGGAGTAGGCTGCTGTTTAGTACTCAACAATAACCGATACACAAATAGCTTAGGCCAGCGTAGGCTGGTAGGCAGCACAAACTTATGTTCATGCGTAGGTTATCTTCGATTATCTAAGCTACTAGTATAACTACAGAGATTTCATTGTCAAACATTCTTGTACTGTAACGTATCCGAGATTCAAAGTGCCCGCTACCACCGCCCCGATATCTTACATCTTGGCCTCCCCCATCTCATATTGAGCAGCTAGCTCGCCCCAAGCTATTTTTCTTGTTTTTGTACCACGTGTCCTTAAGAGCTCGTTAATATAGCTCGTTAATATCACTAATATTACAGTAACAGTCGTAAATGTTGTCTACCAACTCTTCGCGCGACGGATGCCACTGACTGTTAGAGTTGAATTCGAAGACCTGGCCATTGGGCTTCAGGCGGATACAGTAATCGCAATATCTGAGGCCCACTCGTCAAGCCAGACCAAAGTCTTGTGTTCAGGAATAATCGGTTCGTCCAATAAGTCTAAGGGGATTATTCCGATCTAACCTCACCATCATTCGTCGTGACAGAAATAGTTCTTCGGGCGCCAAGACCCCGAAGCCCTGTGTTAATGGGCAATCTATCCCCCAGGGGCGAGTACCCAGCTGGGTATACCCCGTGGGTATACCCAGCTGGGTACTTTTCTTGGCATCTTACTAACATGCGCCTAGAACGACAGAGCAAGGCCTACCATGAGACTTATTTGCATCTTCTGGAGGTTTCCGGTGGTTGCAAGTTGCGTCCACAGGAGAGCTAGGATTTGCCCACAGAGCCGTCAGTCTATTCCTAAAGTCTCCCCTCCCACACCTGCCTATGAAGAGCTTATGGAACAGATCAAGATGGTCCTGCTCCTCTTCATTACACGGGAACGTATAGACTCCCCTCCGATATCCGTGATATGTGCGGCCGTTTTCTTCGAGGAAGAGACTTCTATCCAAAGACCTAAGGCAGATAAATAATGGGAGGCAAGAGTCCCGGCATCGGTCACCCACTGATTGAATATAAATGACGTATAATCAGCACTTCAGGTGTGATGATTTTCCGGGGGAGGAGTGGAGTTGGTTGAAGGAGGAGCTGGAAGGAAATGAAGATAAAGTGAGGGCAAGGAAGAGACCAGGAAGAGATACTTGCTATAAGAATGGCTTATGCTTGGAGACCCATTGCATACCAAGTACTGGCTGCTAATTGGGGTTTTTCTGGAGGATTCTTGGTCGGTAATGAAGCGAATATCTATAGCGTCCGGCTTTTGTCCAAAATCACGCATTCTCGTAAGATGCTGCGGCTTGAAAGGTGAAGTGGTCGCAAGACGGCGAAGCCAAGATGACTGGCTGATGCAAACCCCGACCGTTCCCAGATATGAAATTCGGATGTCAAAGAGTTAGTCCAACAAGAGGGAATCTGTCTTGCCCTGCTAAGAACATGACCGAACTGAATACATTCATAAAGTGACCAGCATCATTGCCGGCGAAAGAATACCGACTTTAGCCAACAGAAACCAACAGTCTTGTAGCGCAGAGAAAGGTGAAGTTCGGTTCCGCAGACAGACCCAAGAAGGTAAGGTTGATTATCACGTGACCAGAGCACGTTAACTATCATGTGAACTCTACGCTTCGGCGGCCGTAGCCAAGATAAGGTCAATACGATCACTCTTTTTACTCTACTTCCTTGAGCCAGTGCATGCATTCCGCTGGTCATCGAAGTGTGTCTAATCATAACAAATAGTTATGGATCTTCTCATTGTTCTCCCCCTTTGACGTCTTCGGCTGCAGCTGAGTTATCCTCATCAGTTGTAGGATTGGAGTCAAAATCCTTCTCCGTTTTCTGAGTCGGCCGTGGATAGTATATTTCCTATTTGGTGTTAGTTTCCATACCGACAGCAAGCATACCAAAAACGTACTAGTTGCGAGGAAAGGCCTGACCAGAATCCTGTCGAATCGGAGAGAAATGTAGTGACCTGGCCAGACTCTCGAATGCGAATACCCAGGCAGACGTCAGCATCACACAGCTTGCTGTATTCGTAGGCCTTTCGTAAGAGGCTCTTTTTACGCCGGTCTCGTTTCTGTCGCATCATCTTCTTGGGTGAGATGGGTGACTTAGGTGACTTCTGCTTGTTTGATTCCTTTGACATTGTACAGAGTTCCGCGAGTTACTGTAATCTGTAAGTACTGTAGTCCTCTTCTTATCTCCTCATCTCAAATCACAGACCCTCGCAGTGTTTATTTATATTTGACTACTGAAGCGTTTAGGTGGTCTACTAGGTTTTTGACCATCATTAAGGAATATCCGAAGTAGTTCAACATGTTCAACTATGGCACCAGATACACAGTTATTCTGTCGCGAGAGCATTGCTTGTGTTGAACACGGCTACGGTGCAACAGATGTTGAACCCAAAGAATAGGTTACAGTACTGTAATGTTATTAGTGAAGAGTTGAGCAAAAGACTCATGGAGGACTGTGTTCAACTGGCCTTGCCCGACTATTGTACTGTCCCATCCTCTGTCCAGATTGCCGCAGTCTCCTTGGTTCACGCTGTCCCCTCGGATTACTGCTGCTCGCCTAAAGTGAGTAGATTAGTCTTTTGGATAACCAAATAGAGCCTTTTTTCTCCAAATCTTGATAGGCAGTGTAGCAGCTATTGCTTGTGGCCCTGCTATCCTTGGTCGGGCCGGGCGGGGGGAGGAGGTGGGGGTAAGGGGCAACTACCATGAAGGGGGCCTAATGGGTATGCACCCGTGCTGCGTGCTCACCCTTGGTGAATAGAATAGGTGATCATGAACTGGCACCCCGTGCGCCGGCGTTTGAGACCGACACTAGTAAGGTACTTCATCCCTGACCTCCACTCATTGGTGCCGTGTTAGCCGAAGCTGAGAGCACCCTTATATCCCATCATTGTAAGAGATGGGCTATGATATCTATTTAGATTGCCTGTCTGCCACACCATTTCTCCTTTCGCATACAAATTGGATCGCTGTCACCCAAAGTCATCACCCCAGCTCACCCCAGCTCACCCCAGCTCACCCCAGCTCACCCCAGCTCACCCCAGCTCACCCTCCCCGCGCGACCTCTCAGCCGACCGGTCAGCTATAAGAGAAATGGAAATTGCACACATCTGTCTCGCGCCTTTACAGGCTTGGATCCCCCACTGGCAAGACGAGACCGATATCCGCCATGGCAGCACGACCGCGAAGGATACAGAAACGCCTTTCAGATAGTCCGAAATCGAAGCGCCAACAACAATGTCGCCGAAAAGATAACTTGTTCTTTAAATCCTTCGAGTACTGTCACGAGTGTGATGCGGATATATTCATCATGGTTCGAAACAAGCAAACTGGCCAAATCATATTTTTGAACTCCAACAGCAACTGGCCCCCATCACTGGAGGAGCTGGTAGAATATTCTCCTATGACAATATTGAGAGTACTATTCTGATAAGATGATATATAGGCTTCGTACTATCCAAAGCCGAAACAGGTCACATGGAAAGAGTTAGCTGCCAGATACGCTACCGAAGAGTTACAGAATGTTCCGAGTGACCAGTCACAAGCCCGGGCAACTGAAAAAAATCACAAGTAGCGGGATCGAGAAATGAGAGTGAGGCTGTGGCATGTAGAGATAATATGCAAAGGCTCCCGAAGTGCGAACGACACTAGATTTTACAGTTGAGCTTCAGCTAAAACAGGCAGTATATACCCGTTTTAACATGTCATCTGGTTTTTTGATACGAGGATTAGTGTTGCTTCTTCGCTTCCTACTGTTTACCTGAACTGGGATGGCGTAGATCAACTTAAGCTTCGAGCATGCTCCAGGACTTCTGCCGTGTTGTTGTATTGATCACTATAGGCTCTATAGATCAGATATAACGTCTGCCTAGCGTTTAGCACGAGAATACATGAGAGGGTCCCTTTATCATACTTTAAACCTGTCCAAATCTTCGGGCTATTCTTAGTACGCCATCAACAAATTATCTAACCACGTCATTTGGATCTAAATTGATGGCATAACCCCCGCGTGGTACATGCTACTCCAATCGCCACATTATCAGGTATCTTTCTGCTTAGTTATTATCAGCCATGACTTGGAGTCTGCGGACCCCCAAATCTGAGGTTTTTGCGGATGGTTGACACAGATCGCTTATCGCATTCCACACTTTTCGCGATCTGTGATGAAGTAAATCTTCTATTATGGATCATATGAACAATCTCTGTACGCCGCCAGGGCTCCAGGTGCCGTACCATCTTGAGGAAATACCTGGATAAGACGGATGTTGGAGTGACGTCGTCTTAGACTGAGGTTACGAGGAGATGCAAACACATCAAAACAGCATGTATCTAAGCCGATTTAGTTGAATGCCTGCCCCAGGCTTTCAGGCATCAATAAGCGCCAAGCCATTGTGGACAGCGGAGCTTGATCCTCGTCTTTGCAAATGCCCAAGTTTTATCGTACTCGAGAATGAATTAGACCATTTTAGGCTAAGAAATCTGCCTCAGGCTTCGAGTCAGGAGAGAGGCTGTGCGGGGTTCATCTGATATGATGCCCGAGAGCCGAAGTCTCATCACTCACCACATCAACTCAGCACACAGAGCACATCGCTACCAGAACCAATAAACTTACCACTAAGGGACCAAGATTTATTCCAGTGAAAACCACGAGATTTAGCTACAAAGTTAGGTTAATCCGCTACTAGATTTCATAGTTAACGACAAGGTAGATGTGATTATATCGTGACTACTTGCCCTCGATGCAACAACATCATAGCTACTGAGCGGATCGACACCTGCCGTGATACCATCCATCAAGTCACAGACACGGTAAACGCCAATGTATTCCCTCGAAGGGAAGTCTGTGGACCCTGTAGTCTGCCTACGCCAGAGTCTCAGTAGGAGACACCGCTAGGTTCGAATCTCCAAAACAATCTAGCCCTCGATCTTATTTGCTGAGGGCGGAGTACAGGTCAAACCAATAACGATGGATCGCGTGGATTAGAATAATATGGTGGCTCGATGGTATAATCCGTGACAAAGGGCGGGAAGCTGTTTACTCCGTTGGCGTTGTGAACCCGGGCAACATCGCTATTCACTTTGTTCCCCACAGGGGCGCTTGCTGAGTAGGCTTGTACCTTTTTGCCCAACCGAATGATTGTAATAGGAAGCTTGTTTTGCTCGGGTAAATGTCCTAGAGTAGGATCATAAGAAGTATTTGAAATGTCGAATACAAGAAGACGTGAGTTGCCCACTTCTGTTTTACCAGCAGCTTCAACTCGGGTCGCTCATTATATGTGCCCTCCAAAAGATGATTGTCGCTGAGTATATCAAAAGCTATTGGAAGTAAGTCCTCCGAAGAAGACCAAGACTGCTCCTAATATGAATTGCTCTCCGAGACGATGACGAGCACTCGCTGTGGCTTTCGCTCTGTCATTTGAACGCCTACGTTTGTCAGTTATAGAAAATTAATTTCGTCACTGGCAACTTACTACCAATACTCTCAGATAGACCACATGGAAGAATTCCGTCAGATTACGCGATGATGTGACTGTTCCTGACTGACGAGTTATCCCCTTGCCAGGGAAAATGGCTTGGAGAGCCGACCGGATTACGTAATGATCTGCTGAATGATTCCGCTGGCTATTGGCGGAAAACAAATTACTCCGCAACGGCACATACATCGGGCGAAGGATTGAAACCCGACAAGACGATTCCATCTCGCCAGTTCAAGAAGTCACCATACCGGCATTTAAGTTTTTTTTATTCTTGTCTTGTCCTGAAACTCTACATAGTACCTGCCTCTACTCAGAAAAGGAAAGATTGCAGATTTGATTGAAATTGTGACAGTTCAGCCCAAAAGCGGTCGTTAGCTGCTAGGTAACCATGTCCACCACCTTTTCGAAACACGTCTGAACATCCTGGATGCAGCTCCTCACCGATTTATGGGCTTCTCCTGCACATTTGCTCGGCCATCCACTCCGTGCGTTCTTCTTCCGCCCATTCGTCGTACGAGTATTCTAATATGTTTAGTCATGTTAGGTACAGTCGCCCGGTGGGAGTGATTTAACTCACCGCAACAGATGACATCACAGTCGGCACCTGCGTCTGGGGAACCGCACTTCCTGACGACCATTGTAGACTCTTTGACAACTATATTGCCGCTGCTATCTTTGGACTGGCTTAGGAGACGCGACGTCGCCTTTCCGTGGCTTTCAGTTGATATAGCCGAGTGTGTAAGGCACCAGTCAAAGCAATTCTGAACAAAGCACCATTTTGTAATGTTTCTTCGACATGAAGGACTATATAAGGTTCATGAGCAATTCTTAACCACAATGAAACATACTCGAATGGTACGCACCACGGCTGCCCTTCAACATTCGCCTCGACATCATCAACCGCTTCATGCGTCTTGTCCCTTCGCTCCTCATATTCAACAATCATCCTGTCTTTGAGATCCAACATCGCGGTATGGTTTGTATGGCTGGGACTTTTGTAGGTTCCGGTTTAACTCAGGTGTCGTGGTCTCTAAGGACAAAAGACGGGTGGAGGATCTGGTAGGCCAGATGACGAGAACTTGATATACTTAGTCTGCAGGCAAGTTGTCCAACTTAGCAGCCATTCTGTGTAACATCAAACATTCCAAACCTCCTCAGAGCTCTGGTATGTAGGGATAAATAGCGCAAATCTCAAGCTCCTCCCTGAAGCTTAGGTTTGATTTAGCAAAGCGCAATGAGGCGTCGAGAGTTAGGAGACAATTTCCATCGGTTGGACGTCATCATCATAAAAAAATCAATCACTCTCCATTTCCCGGAGTTTATCAAGCAAGATATCTATTGGAGGCGTTAAATATTAGTTACTCGGGTGCCCAAAGTCATGCCAACTGACAGAGGGTGGAGATCAAGTAACCAAATCCAGAACTGGTATTGAAGAGTGCCGATGATCCTGCTTGGCTTGGAATAGCCTCACGCAGGTTTTCAGATGCCGTGACGCTCAGCAGTGAGCAACTGCAAGTTCGAAGCAAGTTGTCGATAAATTGCCAAATTGGCACACCGTTGTTTGTTTGTTGAGTTTGCATGGAATCTTCCAGACTGAAAAGGCAAGAAAGTCTACATTCTTTGGCTCGCCCATTACCAATATAACTTACAGCTTACGGGTTTTGTACGTCATAATTCTTACCGTCGCCGAGACTGGGGGCAAGAGAAGACTGCGGGCAAGAGAAGACTGCGGGCA